CCTCGCTCAACCGGAGCAAACATCAAGGAGAAGATGAGAAAATACAGGACACCTCCCCCCACCAGACAAAGATGGGAAGTTCAGTCCAGAAAGGGGGAGGATCTCCCGGAACAAAGAAAGTTCACCAGGAATCAGATTCCAACTCCCAGACCCCCCACGCCAAAGAGACAATAGACACAGAACACGATGGAGGAACAACACCGCCCGAGCCAAGACAGAGGATGGACAGCTCTAACAAGGAAGAACAACCACTGACGCCTCCACCAAGCAGGCCAAACAGGTAGGAATACGGCGAGGGAACTGAAACCTGAGCCTCTAGACTTCAACCTCAGGCAGACAGCGAGGGAGCTCCCCGTATAAAAGCTAGCTAGAAATTCATTACAGTCCACAGCAATATAAGGAGCAGGTTAAAACAGCAGACAGTAGGGTCGATGAACCAATGGCAGGGAAGAACCAAGATCAACACCCCACTAAGCAGACAACCCAGCGGCGAAGCTAGGGAAGCAAAATAAGGCAAACATCGGCCCCACCAGACCAAGGCACGATTCGTAACAGGTCAAGCCAAAACATCCGCAACCTTAAGAGCCCCAGAAGCATTGCAGAGGCAGTGCTCATAGGAAGTTGTAACCAGTCGGAACGGCTAAGGATGAAACAAGGAACAATAGGACCACAAGAGGGGGAAGTACCCTAACAAGCAGGACGAGGATAGAACTCCGTAATACTCGACATTCCGATCAGACAAATCTAATCAAAACGCTGCAACCGAAGACGGAAAAACTCAGGAATAAAACCAAAAATCACATCTTGAAGTCGCCCCGAGGGAAAGAGACATAGAAAACGCCAACAGGCCCTCGAGTCCGGAGAGTAGTTCAATTAGGTAAGAGGGGGGGGCCGACTCCCAAAAAGAAAAAGCCGAAGGCAGGCCCACCTTAACGAAACCTCGGGTTAGTGGCAATAAACTAACAAGGCCAGAGAAGATTAGATCACAGAACAAAACCTCCATAGGAAACAGAGGGAAGACGAATGACCAAAAGGGACCAATAAAGGCAAGAACAATAAGGACAAAACGAAATCCGAAGACCCAAATAAGCCCAGCAAAATCGGGCCGATACAAGCCCAAGAGCCACCGTTAGAACAGTTTAAGGGGCAACAGAGGCACCCCCGCGGCGAAGGGACCGAGGGAGCCACTTTAAGATCACGGAGCCAACAGAACCCCGGCATACAAGACAAGCGCAACGGCAACCAGGAACAACAGATCATAGTCAGAGGCCCAAGCGGGAGCCAAAACAGGGCAAAATCAAAAGGATTAACAGAGGAAGGCAACACCCAGAAGAGGATGAACCACGCCGATCCAGGATAGCCGAACCAATCCGGAAGCGATAGCCCCCCTCTGGAAGGAGATGAAGAAACAACAGGAAGGAGAAGATGAATCCCCCCCCCCAGGGGGTGGCTTCAACAGGGATGGAGGAGCGGGCTATGTCCCTGGTGCAGAAAAGGGCCCCATATTGACCACCCGAACACTCCCCAAAGGAAACAAGACAGAATCGAGCCCCTTCCGGGAAGGCCTAAACCGTACCCCGGTCAAAAGGCCCAAGGAGAAAAAGGGAAGAGGCAAACGATAGGACACGGGGGCATCCGGGGCCGTGGACAGAGAGAAACCCCAACAACAACACCAGACAAGTGAGATAGGCAGGAAGATGTAGACGGAAAAATACAGAAGGGGAAAATTCTACAACAGAGTTCAAGACGTCATAATGACGGCGTGCAGAAGGCGCAGTCTCAAGGGGCGAAGAGCGAGTGGCGCGGTCAGGAGCCTGAGAGGACTGAATCTAGGAAAACAGGGGATTATAGAAGGGGGGGAAAGGAATTGAAAGAAATAACAACAGAAGGAAGTCACGCACAAGAGACAAAAGAGGCCTCAGCCCAAGCAGGGAGGTAATAGCTCCCGAGAGGATCAACAAGATACCCCCAGCAGAGGCCAAGTTCCAATACCGGGAGGTAGAGAGGGAACAAGTCACCAGCAATGGCATCAAGGGGGCAGCGGATAAGGGGGCGAAACCAACAACAGGACGCAACAGGTCAACAGCAGACCCAACCGAACAGCCGGAGCAAGCAGGGACGCCGCCCCCCACCTGAGAGGGGAA